CAGTATCTGAGGGCTGCTGTAATGGCTTTCTGGTTTTTGTAGGTCTGACGATGCAGCTGTGTGCCCTGTGCCCTAGGGGTACTCAATAATGGTGGGTGAGCACAGCGCTCCTGCCTGCAGTAGAAGGCTAGAGTCTAGAGTCTGCTTGAATCCAGAAAGTCTTTTGGTGCTGGGTGTCCTGAGCATTAGACCTGATGATACCCCCACTGTGGGGTTTCCTACTGACAGGAACACCCAGTCTTTGCTTTGGGAACCGCCGTTCTGTCTGGGATGGCGAGTAGAACCCGCAGGCACAGATGCACGTGGCTCTGCCTTTCTGGCCTTTGGGAGCCTGGGCATCTGCCTAAACTGGGTAATTTTTCCCGAGACCTTTTCGGGGTGGGGGTGTCGGCTGAGTGATCTGAGATCAGACCAGCCGTTTCCCTCCCTGTGGGTTTGCACCTGACAGTGAAACTCAGTCTCTGATGTCCTGGGGCCCACAGTTCTATCTGAGGTGGCGAATCAGGCACGCAGGCAGGGCTCTGTGCAGGCACCTGGGTCCCCGGCTCTGGCTGTGGGCTGGCTCCTGGGGCGCCTGCGGAATCTGAGTCTTTTCCAGGGGATGTCTGGATGACCTAAGGTTGGTCCCAATCGTTTCCTGCACGGTGGGGTTATCTCTGACCTGGAAATTCTAGTCTGTGATGTTGTGGGGCCACAGTTCAGTCTGGGACAGTGACCAGTGCACGCTGGCGTGTGGCTCTGGGATGGTGACCAAGCGCCTGGTGGAACCGAAATCTCTTCCTCGGTTTAGCCGGGTGAGTTGCAGCTGATTGAATCCCCTACTGTGGGGTATCCTCTCACCTGAGAAACACAATCACTTGTGTTTTATGGCCTCGAGTTCTGATTGCTGGTCACTGTGCCGATCCTGCTGTGCTGCTGGTCAGAATGAGAGTCCTCCCGGCGCCGCCATCTTGCCCCCCCCCCCCCAGATATTAAACTTTTAAAACTCAGTTATTGGTGCCAACACAATTTCATTGGGTTCTTCATAATATATATTGGTGGTTACAACTGTGAATTACTGTTTTACACTGTCCTGTCCTTTCTCCTTCTTTCTTATTTGTAGTAAGTAGGACTGTGCAGTGTTTAGCAGAAAGGGCGAGGGTGGACGTATTTGTGTTCTTCATTTTGGCTGTAAAGCATTTATTTAATCTTCTACTACTTAAGGAGGATGGCTCTGGACTTTTCATAGATCACCTTTTTATTTCTGTTTGCTGAGTCTTCATCAAGGATGGGTGTTGATTTTTCCAAATGATTTAATCAGAAGATATTAAAAAAAACCAAATAATATGATAGATTATGTTGACTGTTTTCTTCTCACATAAAACAATCTGATACCCCCAATGTGAGAATGTTTGCTATAATATAATTTTCACATTCTCTGGAACTGTTGTATTTAAGTTTTATGACAGCTATTTTGTTTGTATTTATGAGGCATGATTATCTGTAATAGTTTTGTCTTATTGGAGCATTGCAATAATATTTGGTCTCATTAAATGAGCTACAGAGACTCATCTCTTCTTATTTCCTAAATCTGAATACTGTAAATGTTTCTTTAATTTGCTTGACTATCACCAGGGGTTATTTGAGTGCACTGTTTTCTTTGTAGAAATGTTTTAATGACAGATTAAATTACTTTGATTAACTGAGGCCATGGAAGCTTTTATCATTTTCTTTTGTGTCAGCTGTGGCAGTTTGTGGCTGTGTACAAATTTGTCAAATTTATCTGCACCATTGTTCTATAGTGATTCATCCTCTTTCACTTATAAAAATAATAATCCATATTCTTTCTTTTTGCTTGATAACTTATGCCAAAATCTATAATTTTTTATTTTTATTTATTTTTGAGACAAGGTTTCTCTGTATAGCCTTGGCTGTCCTGGACTCACTTTGTAGATCAGGTTGGCCCTGAATTCACAGAGATCCAACTACCTTTGCCTCTCAGAATGCTGAGTTTACTGGTGTGTGCCACTGCGCCCAGCCCAGTTTTTTTTTCTTTTTTATAATTAAATTTATTTTATTAATTACAGTTTATTCACTTTGTATCCCCCCATAAGGCCCTCCCTCCTCCCCTCCTGGTCCCATCCTCCCTCCCCCTTCTTCACACATGCCCCTCCCCAAGTCCACTGATAGGGGAGGTTCTCCTCTCCTTCCTTCTGATCTTAGTCTATCAGATCACATCAGGAATGGCTGCATTGTCATCTTCTGTGGCCTGGTAAGGCTGCTCTCCCCTCAGGGGGAGGTGATTAAAGAACAGGCCAATCAGATTATGCCAGTTTTAATATTTAAAGAATGAGGTTAATTTTTAGTATCATTCTTCTTTATTTCTGTTCCATTTTACTTGATTTCAGTTCTCATCTATGTAATTTCTTTTACTGTATTGTTTCTTTAATTTGTTTCTCTTGAGAGCTTGTTGAAAAGTTTTAGTGGGAGGGGCATGCAGCTAGTCTTATCTTTGGCTGTGGAGTGGTGACCTTCTGTCTTCTTTTGCATAAGGACTTCCTTGGATCAAGAGTACAAGCTCCTGTCCTACTTCTCCTTTTCTCCTACTTCCAATGTCCATCCCATTTGTCTTTCTAAGTAAGGATTGATCATCTTACTCTGGGTCCTCCTTCTTGTTTAGCTTCTTTAGGTGTACAGATTTTAGTATGTTTATCCTATCTTATAGGTCTAGTATCCACTTATAAGTGAGTATATGCCATGTGTGTCTTTCTGCTTCTGGGATTCCTCACTCAGGATGATCTTTTCTAGGTCCTACCATTTGCCTGCAAATTTCATGATTTCCTTGTTTTTAATTGCTGAAGGCCTCTGAAAGACTCTACCTAGCAATGTATCAAAGCAGAAGCTGAGACTCGTGACCAAACTTTGGGCAGAGTGCAGGGAATTATATGAAAGAAGAGGGAGTTAGTAAGACCTGGAGAGGATAGGAGCTCTACAAAAACCAAATACATGTAGTCACAGAGGCTTGTCTGAAACTGATTCTCCAACCAAGGACCATGCATGGAGATAATCTAGAACCCCTGCTCGGACATAGCCCATGGCAACTCAGTATCCAATTGATTTGCCTAGTAAGGGGAACAGGGACTGTCTCTGGCATGAACTCTGTGGCTGGCTCTTTGACTTCCCCATGGGAGGAGCAGCTTAGCTAGGCCACAGAGAAGGACATTGCAGCCAGAGATCTGATAAACTAGGGTTAGATCGAAGGGGAGGAGGACCTCCCCTATCAGTGGATTTAGAGAGGAACAGGGAGGAGATGAGGGAGGGAGGGTAGGATTGGGAGGGAATGAAGGAGGGGGCTACAGCTGGGATACAAAGTAAATAAACTGTAATTAATATAAAAAATAAAAATAAAAAAGAGGACAAGCTCAGCTGAGGGAAGTACACACATGTGCCTGGCAGTGAGGGGATGCCCCTAGCCAGAGTCAGCGCAGCAGTCCTCACAGATGGCCCTTGCGTTCTATTTGCTCTCCTCCTCCTCCTCCCCCTCCCCCTCCCCCTCCTCCTCCTCCCCCTCCTCCTCCTCCTCCTCCTCCTCCTCCTCCTCCTCCTCCCCCTCC